GATATATGCACATAAATATATATATTCTTATATATAAATATAATTTAATATGTCTCGCAAAATTTCATTTTTATGTTATTTCATACATACGCCAGTACATACATAGTTAGATGATATACATAACTGCATATAAACATGCCGATATGTATATACATATATATTTGTATTTACATATATACATATTAAATTGTATTTTAGTTTTAATCCAATATGGCAGCCATTTTGTCTCAATTAACTCTTTTAGGTTTTGCTGCCCCCTCTCTTGTTATGGGTCAGGGGGAGGGGATGTAACGAGGCAGGGCTAGCTTAATTCACCTAGATTTCAATTTTCTTTGCTTTATAATTTTTTTTTTGTATATATTTTTTTTTGGCAATTGTTAATTTTGTGTTGTGCTCTATTTGATTAGTTTTCTGCAAGTTTGCGTTTTTTCTGCTTCTTCCAATTCCTCTTTGCTCTGTTTTTTTCGTTGATGTTTACGCTTTGGTTTTCAGTTTCTATGTGCCAAATATTTTCCAGTTAATTTATGAGCTATCGATTTACAGCCAATGGACATAGAATGTGGAAATTAATCAAAATTCATTTATCGATCTAATTGAACAGGCGCATCCTCGACAACAGCAGCAGCAGCGACATCTATCGACCAAGAGGCACATTCCAAAAACCATAGAACAAAATAACAAATGACTGAAGTCGACGTCGTTTTGCCGGAGGGCGTTGCCGAGCCCACAACCAATATACTAACCAAGGGGGCAGCCAACGACGACGACGACAACAACAGCAAYAGCAGAAGCAGCAGCCCGGCTGAGACGCAAGATGAGCAGAAGACAAACTCTAAAGCTGATCTGGAGAAGGATGGGCAGATAGAGCCCGCTAAGGAAACGGAAGCAGATGCAGATGTTACAGCTACAAAGCTGCCGCTGGATAGCAATTGCAACAGTAACAGCAACAGCAACAGCAACGATGATAGCAAGTCGAATCCGAATCCTGCGCCCGAAGCCATGGATGTGGATGACACTGAGGAGGGTGACTCACAAATAACCAGCTCTAGCTCCACAGAGAATGCCAATGGCAAGGAGTCCAAGCTGAATGAAGATGATGAGGACGAAGAAGAGGAGGAGGAAGTGACCACCAATGGGGATCACGAAGATGCGGAGGATGAAAAAATAGGCAGTACTGCAGAAAACAGTTGCGATGCCGAAGATCCTCTGGGTGCAGCTACACAGCCGCCTGCCGATAAAGAGGAGAAGGAACGAACGGAGCAGAAGAAGAGGGTGGAGAATGCAGAAGAGGTAGATGGAGTCGATGACGAGGAGGCTAGCCAGCAAAGTGGCACAGCTAAAACGGTGACCGACTCGGAAGCCGATGGAGATGCAGATGCAATGCACACCGAGGAGGAGGAAGTGCAAGAGAAGGAGAAGACGGAGATTGAGAAGGAGAAGGAGACGCCAATGAATGGCTTCACAGAAAGCCCAAAGGCTAAAGAATCTGCTGCTGTTGTGCCCGCTGTCAAGCCCAACGGTCAGGCCACAGCAGCGGAAGCAACGAAAAGCAATGACGATGCAGCTGTAGTTAATCTGGACGAGGACAGTGATGAGGAAATGGCAGACCTGACGGAACAAAAGGAAACCCCATCAACAGCCGTAGCTGCTGCCAAGCCAAACGCAAGTCCTAGCAAAGCAAATGCCATGCCTGCAGCGGTTGCGTCAAGCAGCGCTGATTCCTCGGATGATGCAGTGCTCATTCCCTCCGATTCAGATTCGGAGACGGGACAGACAGCTGCAACGCCAATGACGCCGCAAAGCAAAAAGTTGCCAGCCGTTGTGAAGCCAACGCCGCCACCACCACAGCCAGCACCACCAGCACCAGCCGATCAGGATGACGACGATGATGATGACTGTGTGGTCATTGAGGATGATACGCCGCCAAGTATTTCGCCCAGCGATCATGCGCTTAACAAGCGCAAGAGCGACATGGACGACCTGCATCCCAATAGCAAACGACAGCGATGCTCCACCCCATCCGGAATGGGTGCGGGCATGGGCATTGGCCTGGGACAGCTGACCATCAAGGATGCACGCACTCTAATGCCACACGAGGCGGGGCCAACTATTGCAGGGGTCGGCGGTGCTGTCTATCCGGTGACCATAACGAATGCCGTAACCGGAGTGGCCACCAATCTGGGCAATACGCCACCGAAACTGGTGCCGATGGCCGGCATGGCAGGAGCCGGACTGGGCAGCACAGTGCAGCTGACTCCGTCCACACTATCGCTGACTGCTGCCGGGCTGCCCAGCATGACGAACAATGCGAATCTGTTGCCAGGCTTGACGGACGATATGTTCGTGCTGGAGGCACCATCGTTTATTGTGCCCTACATCTATGAGAAGCCCCCGAACGACAATATACGCGAGGTCATCAAGGCCATTGAGACGAAGTATGCGCTCTCGGCCGAGGATCTGGCCGTGGCGGACAAGGTGGACGAGTTTGACATGATGACCGAGCAGAACAAAGAGGACAAAGCGAATGCGGATGGCACGGCGACAACGAATGCTCCAGCTGGTAAAAAGAAGCGGAAGAATGGCGATGATGAATCGTGGTCAGAGCAATCAGATGAGGATGACGATGACGACGACGACGACGACTCCGAGTCAGGTGTGCGCACCAAGGTGTTAATCAAGGAGGTCAGCGATGATATCTCCGCCCTGAAGAGCGCCATCAAACCCGCCGCTGCAGTCGTCGCTTCGGGCGGCGCTGCCTCCAATGTACCCGCAAAGCCTGGCCAGGAGAACTACTTTGAGAGTCCCTTAGGCAAGTTCTTTATGGACATTGGTGTGGGCCTGGTGCAGGAGTATGTGCAGTCGGATCTGCTGCGATTACAAAAGCGTAAGATGCGTAAATCTCTGTCGCGGGATCCCAAGGACTTTGAGATGGCCATCAATGCGTTGAGCGGCAACCTGCAGGCCTCCAAGACGAAAAACGCCCCCTTCAAGTTCACAATGAAACGCTGTGAATTCTGTAACTTCAAATCCGAATCTGCGCTCTCCATGGCGAATCACTACGAAACGCCGCATATGAATGGCGTCTTATACAAGTGCAACTTCTGTACATTTGAGATTCGGAATGCCACTGAGATCGTTTACCACATGGAGGCCGTGCACAATATCAAGGCGCGTCTGATTAAGCCGCTGCCGTATCACACGTGTCCCAACTGCGGCTTCGAGGACAATGGCAAGGCGAAGCTGGCACGCCATCAGCCGGTTTGCGCCAAGAAGTTCCGGCCGGAACTGAATCTGGCGCCGCCCAACGACTGGGAGGCGCCTGCTAAGATACCGCGCATCAAGCCACGCCACGGACTCGTGGGCACAGCCACTGCCTATCAGGTAAGTTATAGAACAACTGTCCTAGATCAAGATGAACTAACTATTCCATATCATTTACAGGCCATGGCGGCGCAGGCAGCAGCGCAAAAGGCAGCGCTGGCAACCATACAACAGCAACAGGCAGCCGCACAGGCGCGCAATTTGCAGGCCGCCGCGTTGGCAGCCCAAAATGCCGCCAAGATGCGGCAACGCGCTCCACAGCTGCCCAAGGTCATGCCCAATGCCAACAGCATGGTCAGGAATCCTGCGCCCGTACGCGGTGCCATTGGCGCCGGCAACGCGGCACTGTCGCTGCCCAACAGCTATCAACTGGCTGCCGGACAGCTTGTGCAGGTTAGTCAAACTAATCTGCTTTACCTTCTACAATATTTAACCGATATCTATTCAATCGCAGCAAGCGTCTAAGAAGCCCGTCGCGGGTCAGCCGAGCATCTCAATAACGCCACTACCTCGACAAACAGCCACTGGCAGCAATGCGGCCGCTGCTTCGTCCAGCAAGGCGCCAGCGACAGCGGCGGCGGCTGGCATGAAGCCCGGCCAGAGTCCCAGCGGCGGCAACAACAAGGCGCAGTTTGTCATCTGCGAGATATGCGATGGCTATATCAAGGATCTGGAACAGCTGCGCAATCACATGCAGTGGATGCATAAAGTGAAGGTAAACACTGAATTAAAATTATCTACTGCTCAATCAGTTGCTAACGGGTTTACCCTCTTGCTATTCAGATACATCCCAAGATGATCTACAATCGTCCACCTTTGAACTGTCAGAAGTGTCAGTTCCGTTTCTTTACGGATCAGGGCCTGGAAAGACATTTGCTGGGCTCACATGGCTTAGTGACAAGCTCTATGCAGGAGGCGGCTAACAAGGGCAAAGATGCCGGCCGTTGTCCCGTCTGTGGCAGGGTATGCCCAAAGACATTTCAAGTTTACAATCTCCTCTAATTGCATTCCCCTATATATATATAGATGTACCAATGGAAGCTACTGAATCACGTATCGCGCGATCACCATATGACCCTGAAACCTGCACATTTATCGTACAAGTGCACCGTCTGCACGGCAACCTTTGGCATGTACAAACAGTTTGAGACGCATGTGTATACGGCGCATAGCACCGTGGCCCGAAAGGCAATGGACAGCAAGAAGAATAGCGCACAGTCCAGTAGTGGTGGCAGTGGTGGTGCTGGTGGTGCCGGTGGAATGGCGCGCAACGCGCTCGGAGCCGCAAATGAATCATTGCTAAAGCCGCTGAAGATCAACGATGAGATCACCATCATACCACAGCCCGCATCGAAGCCACGGATCACAAATATGGAGAGTCATGTCATAGGCAAGTCGACAAATGAAATATATACAAACTATCAGCTAATATATATATAAATATATCTTACTTGCAGATTAAACGGCGCATTGGATCAACCAAAAAGAAAAAAAAAAAAAAAAAAAAAAAAAAAAAAAAAAAAAAAAACAAAACAAAACAAAAACAAATAAACAAACCTAATCTCGCATAGTTTTTGCTGCAGCATTTTGGCCGCTGGCGCGTTAAGATTAGTTATTATATGATTTTAAGGCTGCGCCGACGCGAACGTCTATATATATATAATATAATATATCTATGATTTGTTAGTAAGCCAGAACTGTATAAAGCGAGCGGAAAGAAACGTTTAGTAAAAACCACAAAGCAACCTAAACCTAAACCTAAATATACGTCGATCATTAAGAGAAATGTTACCACTTAACACAGATACACACGACTCTGATTATTCAGATACACACATACAGCAGATACACATACGGAATACAAATACGGATACAGATTTCAGATTCTAGTTACGATTTAGTTGATATATGTACGTTAGCATGTGCACATAAGTTGAAATTGTAGCTATTACTACTAATAAACACAATTATCATACCATGCATAATTTACATACACCTACATTTTAAGTACACACACACCCCCACACAATTTACACAACTACACACACACATATAAATATATATATTTTAAAAGGAAGCCGCTAGAGCGCATCGTCTACATGACTATGTAAATTAGTTAAAAACTAAATATTATTTATACTATGTACGAATTCAAGTATCTAAATGTGCGTTGCAGTATGTACATATTAATACACACACACACATACACTGAAACACAACAAGAACACGCCAATGGCAATTCGATAACAATAGACTCGTCTATTGTTATCGATAGGTCGTGTGAGAGTTACGTAAAGAACATGAGCTAGGCAAGTACGAAGAGGGAGCTGAAAAGGCTTCCTAAAAGGGGGTTAGTGGGCACGGGAAGGGGGTTTAAATGAAACCGAGGCGGAACTTAGCGATTCGGGGTGGTTCTCTTATCTGATCTGAGACGTTCAACAAATTTTAATTTTGCGTGTACAAGTTTAAACTTATATTTATATATATATATAACATAATATCTATTAATATAAAATATATCATCTACTAGGACGTAAGAAATCATGTAATACAGTTAAACAAACTAAAACACAACAACAACAAACAAACAAAACCAACAAATGAAAATGAGAAAAATTAAAAACTAGTTAATATAAATTTATAATATCGTTTGATTTTTCAAAAAGCAAGTCGTTGTGGAGTAAGGGGTAGCTATGTATAGAAATGATATATACATATATAGCTAATGCTATCTATAGAGTTAAGGTTCTCTAGCTGCAGTTATGGTAGACCAAAAAAAGGTATTTAATATGATAAAAACCAAGTTCTTATCGTTTATTTCGAATCTTAGGAGTTTTGGAATGTGCGGTTTTGATTTAAGAATATCTCATATATTTAATCTTATTTTTCTATATATAAATATAGTTGTATAATATCTGTAAATTTTCTGAATTGAATAAATATAGATAGATATACATCCGTACCTAGGATATACATAAATATATAGATGATAATAGTCAACTTTTTGTTAAACTGCGCTATTTGTGCAATAAGCTGTAACTCGTGGAACAGTTTGGAAACGTTCAATTTGTTTGGTTGGTTGTTATTTAATTAGAGCATTTATTTCATAAGAATGCGCGAAATTAAATTGACCTCTAAAACGGGTTCAAACTTTAGTCAAAATAATGAGACTGACTGTAAAAAGTAATATAGATTTATAGATATGAATGGAGTGACAGACCGGAAAGAATGTGTATAAGCCAAGATCGTGTATATAAATGTCTCTCTCTATATATATGTACATTTATATGAAAACAGTAAAACAGTAAATTTTGTATTAATCATTCAAGTTCAGGTGAGAAGTGTGAATGGATGGAAAGCTTTTAGCAGCTCCCAGTCACATGGGGCCCCCAGTAAAAACTCATTTGATCTAGCACTTATAAAATTTGTTTTTTTGTTTGTTCAGTTTTCTTTAATTATTACGTTTACGTATACAAAAAGTGATTTGACTATGGCCAAGTCAATGCTGAGGGCGGTACTTTCTACTTGCTCTAGATATGAATGCTACCTAACGGACTCCATCTCTTGCAGTCTTGTCTAACACTGTCGCTAATAACACTTATTTACTACGGTTAACAATACTTTTTCTTATGTGATATGTGTTTTATATGGGTATTATGATAGGGAGCACAACGCACTGCATTATTTTGTTATCAGAATTCCAAATTTGGAGTTTAGCTTCAATTGATTTATTGCTACTCCTCCTCCGACTTATCGTCCAAATTATTGGAGCCGGCTGTCCCGCCCAAGCCACCTAGCGACCCGTTCGGCGGGAACAGCTCAGAGGCATGCGTCAGCTTGGCTAAGTCATCCTCGCTGAGCACCTGTGGCTTCTCTAAGTCGCTCGCATTCGACTTGGTCAGCTGATAGAAGGCCGTGTCACTGTGCGTTATATTGACAATGCTCCCCGTCAATGGGAGCGTCTGGAGCAGCTCTTGGGGACTGCTGAATGCGCCGATGTTGATGGGAGCAATGCCCGTTAGCACCTGGCCGGAGACATTGGTCTGAATGGGCAACGGTATATTGCCCAGATCAATGTGACTCTCATTCGTGTGCGCATCGTAGAAGGTCAGATCCACACGCTCCTGGCTTTCAAAGTCCGTGTCATTTTCGCCCACCTCGGTGAGTATGCCGATCTCATAGACCACTGCCTTGACCACGTAGCTAAAGTGAGTTGGAGAGTGGAGAAATTAGAAAAGAATTGGAGTTGGAGAACTTAAAGCGCTCATTATTTTTAAGGATACATATTTTGAATTCCCTGATAAACTTGTTTGACTAGAAGACAGATCTGAAGCTAAGTAGATTAAGCTAAACAATGCAAATTTATACTTCAGTTAAAACTTTAGAAAACAAAATTAAAATTGCATTTGTTTTTCTACTTTTCTCACAGTGTACAACAAAGTAAATTTCAACTAAGATTTTTGCACATAAAATTAATATTGTTTTTGTCTTAATCTCAGATTCACTTTTCTTTCAGGGCACTACTTCAGTTGATTAGAATCCCATAACTACTCGTGTCTTGGTTTCACTTTTGCCCAACTCTTATCGCACATCTTCTTTTCTCTCAGTGTCACATCCTTTGCTACTTACAGATTCTTGGGCGTATCGCTGCCATTCGCCTGCAGCTGCTCGAGGGTGGCATTGTCCAGACCGGAGCTGACATCCAGCAGGGGCAGCGTGCAGCCAAAGGCGAGCAGCATGCCGAGCACAGCGGCTCCTAGGATCGCATGTTGTGGTGAGTTCATCTCTGGAACGCCTCCTCAATTGGTTTGCCCTTTCACGAAATAGGCTCTACTGGTGCTGTTTCTGCTGCTGTTGGTTGCTCTGTTCCCTGGCCTGTTCTTCGCAAGTTTGAGCCTAATTAGTGCGGATCATCGGCTTTTATAGTCGCTGCTCAGGTGCGAATTGCGAGATGCGATTCCGCGTAATTATTGCCACCTGTTAATTGGCTGACAGGTTTGCCTCTTTCGGCAGTCTCTGCTCTCGCTGTCTCTGGGCAGCCTCTCCGGCCTAGAGGGCACGGGGCCATCTATTGTCTTTATCTGCTTCTTCCCTGAGCTGCGCCGTCAACAGGCTCTAATTAATTGTGCTCGTTTCAATATTGAATATCAATATCAATAGCGGAGGCCGTCTACGCAAATCTCATGTTGGTGTAAAGCGCGCTCAATACGGTTTTATGTTGATGTCAAATTGGTTGTTTACCCGCTGGCTAAGCCCCAAAAATAGGCTCATTGCAAACATTGCCAGCGAGTGCGTCAGCTCGCTGCACGCGCCGCTGTCTGGCTGACTGTAGCAAATTACGCATTCGCAGCGTGTGACGACTGTTTGCCTTACAGGCAGGCGTTTACAACTTTGTATTCGATGAGGTAAATAATACAAATTTCACATAGAATTGAAGCGAAAAGAACGAATATGCAGCATTAAATATTGCGTATACGCAGCGTGTGGCTAAAGCGCATAGCAAAAATCACTCATACGCCGCGTGTGTGCAGAAGAAAGTTCGTAGTTTATTTCTGTTTATTTATTTATTTATTTTTTTTAAATTTATTACTTCTTAAAACTATAAATTATTTAGCAACTACTGCCAGTCAGAGCTCCAATATTTTTAATTTGTATAATTTTTAACATTTTGAAAATTAAATTAGGAAATTACTCATACGCAGCGCGTGAAGCAGAAATAAGTTCTTCGTTTATTTATATTTTATTTTTCATGTGCTCTAATCTTAGGCAAATTTATTAGTAGCTGCAGCAATTAAACATTATGATTGGTCAGAACTGTTTTTTTTTTTTTTTTTTTTTCAAATTAAGAATGGAATTATTATTATTATTTTTTTTTTCAAATTTAATTTTTAAAAGCGTTCTTGAATTTTTATGCTTAACGCTTCTCAAAAATTGTATTTTTGATCATTTTTCGAAATTCTTCTCTGAGAGTTTTTGTTAGCAGGTGCTGTTTATTAAGACTTAAATATTTAACAATTTTCTAATTATTTTTCGCTTTTTTGTGACAATTTTTTAATTCAATAAAAACGTTTAATTATTAGAGATTGTGACTCCATCCGGCATCGCCTTCTTTTCTGTTTGAGCAGGCGGCAACTGCTTTGAGCTGCTTCACAATCACACAGAACCAGACGAATCCCGAAATTTTCATTCACGAGCTGTAGGAACTAGAGTTTCAATTGAAATATATATGGAAAATTTTATAGATCAATTTGCACATTGAAATTTAATAGCTTAAGATTGGCTTTTAATATTCATTAACGTCACATATTTGAGCTTAAAATAAAAGCTATAAAACTTGAAGATATACAAAAATAGTTCGGGTGACAAGGTATATGGCATGAGATGACTTCAGCTAGTGAAACTTTCGAGCTGTTTCAGCTCCGACTTGATTCTAATTGTTCATTGTTCCATTTAACAGTCAATCTGTTTTCTTGAGCTTTCAATATTAATTAACGTCGCATCATTTCAGCTTAAAATAAAAACTGTAAACTCTGAGGATAGGCAAAAATAGATTAGATGTCACGGCATGAGCTCATGCGATATAGCACGAGCTGCCTGACTTCAGCTTCTCAAATTTTCGAGCTCTTTCGGCTGCCGACTTGATTCTAATTGTTCATTGCTCTTTGTTCCACTTAACAGGCAATCAATTCTTGAAAATCCCCTGCCAAAGCCCAAAGTGAAAAGCAGGTTCAGCTGCGACTGTTAAGTAAACAGTTGTGACCAGCAGATTAGAGAGGCTGTTTAAGCTGCGCATCGTTTTCCGCCAAAATTAGTCAGACACAAATTTCGCTTGCAGCAAATTAAATTGTTCGTAAATAAAAATCAATAAATATGTATTTGTTTTAAATGAGATTTCTTGGAAATGAATACAAATCCAATAAAATCATATCGCAAACTAATGTTAATTCAATTAATTTGCAGCTTATGCGACAGAGCTTAACTGCGATACAAAATAGTAAACAGTCGAAAGCTTTAGCTGGGTGCGGTGGTCTTTCCTGACATTCGGATCGATCCTTGAATTGATTCTCTTTCTTGGCCGAAGGTTGTATCTATTACCATTAATTTGATAGAGTTCCCTTGAATATGTATGTATGTCTATCTGTATATGTATGATATACATACATATATCTATATCGCAGAACTTCTAGAACAAATATTTCATTTTATTAAACAAAACAACAAATAACCGCAATTAAAGGAGAATTCGCAGGTTTTTCTTCTAGAAACCAGTTCAACAAAAACAAAAAACATACACACACACACAAAACTGTATCTCGCTTGCTTTGAGCCACGTTTGAAGAGTGCTAACTGAAAGCTTAACTGAACTTTTTTTTTTTTAGGCCGTCCGGCGTTACGCTTAAAAACGCGCACACTTCTCGTCAGCGAACTTATTATCAATCTGGACTTTGTGGAGAAAACAACTCGGAAATTCAATTGAACAACAACCACTGAGCCATGAAGAGCACATTGATTTTCACTGTGAGTAGCAGCTGCCATTGCCAACTGATCTTTAGCTAATATATGTTCCCTCTTTCTATCCCTCTTTCTCTCTCTCTCTCTCTCAATAGCTACTGGCTGTCACCTTTAGCTGCAGCTGTGCCGCACCCTTTGATCTGAATGATCTGTTCTTGGGCAGGAATGCGCCCGTGGATCGTGAGACGTCGCAGGATGTGGTCAAGCGTCAGGTGCTGGCCAATGCCGACGGCCAGCTGAAGCAGGTATCGTTCCAGACGCTGATTGGCAGCTTGGAGAACAGTCTGTTTCAGTCGGCGCTCAGCCTGAACGGCGCCAGCGCCGCAGGCTCTGAGGTGGTCGAGGTGAAGCCAGTCGCAGCCATCGAGCCCCTGGAGACCAATGAGCACAGCATTTCGAAACGCTCCGAGGATGCTGTGTCTACGACAGCAGCCCCGGTGGAGGCCGACAGCTCACAAGAGCGCAAAATTCTGCTGCAGACCACAAAGAAGGTGCCGCTGAGCGATGAGTCCGGACCTGCGCATCTGATCATCGATCGTGTCTCAGTGCTGCCCCAGAACGGTGTCTCAGTGCCACTGATACCCACCTTCCAGGTACACCACACCAAGATCACGTCGGCCACCATCACCGAGGATGCCAACAAAGACAGCAGCGATGGCAAACAGACCAAGATCAGCATCACAAAGACTTCCATCACCTCAACTGCGCCCGTGGAGAGTGTTGAGGCGCAGAGCACCAGCACGAGCACCAGCACGAGCACAAGCACGAGCACGAGCGCCAAGCCCGAGCAGGCCAGCACCACAGAGAAGGCGACCACGAGCGAGCCGAGCAGCAGCAGCAGCAGCAGCACAAGCACCACCACCACCAACACCCCTTTAACCAGCACAACCACCACGACCACCACCGCCGCGGATCAGCCAATTGTGAAGCTGAAGCAGGTGGAGGAGAAGCTCAAGGCTAAGGTCGCCGAGGTGGAGGCAGAGCCTGTCATTCTGACCGCGCGTGTCTAATCATTTGGAGCCGCTCTAGTCTTAGTCAACTCGAAACTCAACTCAACTCACTCACTCACACACACATATATATACATACATATACATATTTATATCGCGCCAAGTTGAATTAAAGTCATGTGATTTGATCTGAAAGCCCAAACAGCAAACTTGCGGCGCCGTTTTTATTTAAATTTGAAATTCACACAGCAAATCGAGCGGGTAGGGCAAGAGGGGGGACAGAAGGGGAGACTCATCTCCGCGACTCTGCCGAATTTGAGGCTCTAATTGCTAATGCATACAGCGAAACCGCCTTTTGGATTAGCATCCCATCGAGCTCGACTCAGTCGAGCATGGCAAAAGTTTTCCCAGCTACGTGGCAAGCGAAAGGAAATGAATTTTCAAACTGTCGCTGAGATCGCTTTTCCTTGTTTTTGCCATTGTGTTCAGTTGTCGATCGGAAAGCTTTATCAGTTCACGGGCGCAAATAATTCCCAGTGCATACAATTGGGTTACTCAAACATTGCCCAACTTTGTTGGGGTGTGTAGCATTGCGAATCGCAACTCTCGACTGCAATTTTGTATTTATTATTCAAACTCAACGAAGTGTTAATCAGCTGGGACTTCGCAATTGAATAGTAATTTGCGAAAACGCAATCAATCATAATGTGAGCTATCACAAAGGGAAAATATTGAAATTGAATGAAATGGAAAATAAAATTAAATCAATAAATTAAAGTGAAATCACAGACAGCTGAGGGAACTTTCATATTTATTGCAGAAGAAATGTTCCTGTTTGTATTTATTTTAGAAAATACTCTTGGTATTACTAACTGTTTTTATCATTGCTCTATCTTAGTTAAATATTGAAGTTTTCTATCTCAATCAATGTCCTCTTAACGCTACTTAGACTTTCTTCTCTGTCGTCATCCCTCTAATCTACTTTTTCTCTTTTAGTATTTTTTATTCATCTCATTTTCTCGCTCGCTCTCTCTCTATCACTCTTTCTACTATCTAACTAACTATCTCTCTGTATCACTCTGTTTCTATCTATTTTTATATACATTTGTTTTAATATTTATATTATTATTTATTTAATTTTTTTTGTTTTCTGATTCTATTGTTCTTTCGTCAGCTCTATGTCTAAGTCTCTTCCTCTTTGACCAAACATATAATACATGCTTTCTCTCTGTATCTCTTACTCTGACCCTCTCTCTCTCTCTCTCTGACTCTTTATCTATCTTTTTTTCTTCTCCCTCTCTTACTCTCTCTCTCTTTCTCATTATTTATTATTCTATTCTGTTCGCTCTTTTTTTTCTATTTTTTTTCTTTTTTTCATAATTCACTTTATTTCTACCTCTTGCCCCCTCTATTTTATTCTCTTTCTACTCATCTTCTGATGTACCCTCTCTTTTTCTTTCTCTTTATATATCAGTCAGACTCTTCTTCACTCTCTCTCTTTCTAACTTTACCACTTCCTCTCTTTCATTTAATATAATAGTTGTCTATATATTTCTGCCTATTCACTTGTTTCTATCCCTCTCACGCTCTGTATCTGCTCTGTCCCTCTTCTTCTTATCTTCTTGTCTAATGTTACACACATTCTATTCAAGTATCTATTGAGTTCAACTTGTATTACGCTGTTTGTTCAACTTTGCATTTGTCGCATTTTATTACAGCTCTGCAAATATTTACTCATCGCGTTTGGTGTTTTGTATTTTTTATTTTCCACAAGGCACTTGATACTCTTTCCTATCAGCGCACATTGCACTGGGAGTCACTCACCCATTGCGACTGACTGACTCATCTATACATGGATCTGGATACAAGCTGTTCCCCTTGGTCCACTGCTCCCCCTGGAGACCATGCACATCAATCAAACACGATCGCCGAATTGATAAACAAACGAGCACGAGTCCATCATAGAAAAGAGAATGAGGGGAAGTCCATTCCAGTCCACATGACTAGAATGGCAGATATTAAGTATACGCACCGTGAGACAAGCCAATTGCAGCCGAACATTTTTAAAATTGGCACAAATTGTTATAAATATGGCACTTAATTCACATATAATTAAAATGTATTAGGCTAAAAAACAAACAGTAGACACATATGAACTGAAAGAGGTGTTAGATAAGGCGTATTTGATAAGTAATTGAATGACAAATACAATTGGCGAGGCGAGCAGAATCTTGGCCCGGTCTTTTAGGTGCCCAGCACATAGTTGTGTGTGATAGCGCACAGGTTTACCCTTAAAATTTCATTAGGCTTATCTTATCGGCGTGCCCAAATTACAGTCGAGCCAAGGCAATTGTCGATGGCTATTCAATGGGCGGATGAGTTGCTGCTGCCCGGCTCTCAGTCCAAGAATAGCAGCCGGTGCACGCGCTACACTTTTCCAATTGAACGCAACGGAGGCAGGTGCAAACGGAAATACACCTACACCATCAAACGGTGAGCGAGATAACAACAACAACAACGAACAACGAACAACAACGACAGAAAAAATATCAACAGCAATATTAATAATAATAGTGTACAAAAAAAAGTAACAACTGCTTCTGTGGCTCTGCCATACGTAGCTGACTTCCAAATAAGTTTATTTATATATTGTGTGTAAAAAAAGAAAATAATAATAAAAGTACCTGCATGTACGACAGTGTAATTTCATTCAAGTGCTGTGACTCACTCCTACTGTGTGATAGCAATATATAACTGTAAACTATATCAAAAACAAATAAGAGATATTAAGTAATTGAAGTTCAAATTAGAATTCCAATTGGAATTTCAATAGAGTTTACAGAAATGCCAAATTACCAAAAAACTCATTAGACTGATAAGATTTATGAATGTGTGTGTGTATATGTGAGAGTACCAAAGCCTTTCCTTAATTTCTAATTGAATTTATAGCTGTGCGGTCTTATCGAGGTGTTAGAAAACCAGCCAATTGGCATTTCCACTAACTTAAACTAGCCAAAAAAAAAAAAAAAAATAGAAATTATGGCTGGAGTCAGCGTGGGATTTGCCAAATGTTTTATGCTATTCATGGCTATTGTCATACTGGTAAGTTCTATTATATATTATCTATTATCTCATCATATGAAAACAATTCTAAATTTAGCTTTGGCTTGCAACTGTTTTGAATTTAAGAAAAACTATGAATTAGTCATTCCCGAAACTGATTAACTCACATTTTGCCATCATAAAGCTGCTTTATTTCATTACTTCCTCGAAATTTGCTTGTATATAATATAAAAGTTTTGATTTCTAATGAACATACTCAATTCTTGATAACAAACTCTATGTGATATGCGTGATACACAGTGCGCATGAAATATTAATCAAAATTTCCCAGTTAATTGATAACTTGTATAGGTACTAGGGTAATATTTCAATTGAAATGGTATATACATATGTGAAATTTGTAGTATAAAAGGTAGATATACAAAGTTTTTTCTAGATTTTCAAAATCTTTAATTATCTATAAAAATCAGGAAATTCAGCTAGCATCTTCTATATCCTATATCCTCCCATCTGCCCTTTTATTTGTTTATCCTCTATCTTCCATCCCTTATATCCTACGTTCTCTATCTTATTTCTTATTTCTTATATCTTGTCTCCTATCTTTCATCCTCCATTTTCCATCATCCATCTCCTAATCTTTAGCTAGTAGCTTTCTGCTTCTTTTATCATGTCTACTTACATCTTCCTGATCTTTCCTTTCCTGTTAGGTACAAGGCCTCGCATACCTGGGACTCTCAATATGGGGCATCACAATGCAAGATTGCCAAGAAACATCGAATATTGCTGCCGACCCATTCAAGTTCGCCATGAACTTGATCTATTTTGTGCGTAAGTCTTCCAGCTACCTAAACATTTTTCATTATGCTTCATGCCATGTCTTCAACAGAGGAAGGATGTGGTCCTCCGATAATTGAGCTTAGCTACAATGGCGTAGAAGGCAGCTACCCGTTGATCATGGATTGGCATCAGTCGTATGAGACAAAGAATCGCGAGTTCATCTTTATGGTCACCTATGCCGTGGTGAGCGGCCTTTGGGTGGCTGCCTCCGCATTGATCATACGTAAGTGGTGCCAGAGTACATATATCAAAGCAGATCCATTTTACAATTATCTCCTTTAACCGTAGTCACCCTGTGCTGCGCCACCACCAAATTGATTTCTGGCGTGATCTACTGGCCCTGGTTCCTGTCCGTGCTGGCTGGCTGCATTCTGGATATAGTGGCCACCGTCTATCATGGCATGGACATATCAAAGACTTTGGTAAGGCCAAAAATGGGAACTCAGAGAAAAGGAGATATCTATAAAAGTCGTCTTCCATCAACAGACACTGAATGATGCTTTTGAGTTTGTGGGCGCCACATTGGATCCTACAACTCCTAGCGAAGTGGTGAACTATTTGGATACATTTGGCGTCTACTTTTCCACGCCCGCCATTCTGATGACTTGTCTGAGCTGCCGTGTGGTGATCATCTGGCTGCTGAATGTGATCGGCGGCATCTTCTGTCTGTCCCTATCCAATGTGCTGGCCAATCAGACGGCAGCTAAAACTAATAGCCAGCCGATAGAACGTTCCCTGTCGGCGCAACAGTCGACGGCGTATGTGGTGCAAATGCAGCAGCCGACGGCACCGACAGCTGTAACGCCCCAGTTCGAGGAGGAGCCGCAGTTTCCGGAGCAGGTGCGTCCCAAGCCATCGCCTCTCATAATACCAGCGCAGACCTCAGACATGTTGGAGCGACAGGATTCCCGTTACCAGGCCAATGATCGAACCACACTGCAGTCGCCAGTGCAGGTTTTGCCGCCGCCACAGCAGCAACCACAGTCTCCACTATCGCCACTGTCGCCCGTACAGCAGGAGAATAGCACCTACCGCAATACCGATGCCCATCCCGATCAGCTCAACTATCCCGCCTCGGATTCAACCACACCACGCCCAGTTACACCCTTGTCGCCAGCAGCACAGCAGCTGGCCTCGAGCTCAGCTCTAAATAGTCGCTATTCGGAAATTTATCCAATGCAGCCGACAAATCCGCGCATCAGCGAGGAGCTGCGCAATCAGATGCCCTGGTCGTACACGAATATGATAACCAAGCCACCGCCGCCACCACGCAAGCCACAGCAGCAGGTCCAGATATATCCGCAGATACCCGAGCCGGACTACGCGGAGCACTAGCTAGTGGAGTAATCAGCGTGGCTGCGACTAGTTTTGTTTTGAGTTATTGTTATCTTTATTATAGACATAAAGCTAATACACATGACCAACAGTTTGTCTTACTCGAACATCCGTTTCACTGCTGGGTATTTGCTGCAAGAGCTGCTGCTTGTGCCGCACATGCGATGCCACACGCTCCAGCACTTCAGTTGTATTCAACTCCACTGGGTCCGCCCCACTTGCATGCAGTTCCAGCTTGGGCGCCTCTCCTTGCGTTGCCTTGGCGCCCACAACAATGGTGAGTGGGTGACCCAAGCGTTTCGCTTCCATCAAACGTTTGCCTATGGTCAGTTCCTTGCGGTCATCATGCAGCAGCTGCTCTGCGCCGCAGACTTGTGTTAACTGCTGCAGCAAATCGTTCTCTATGCGCTCCCCTGGCACTTGCTCCTTGCTGCCCTGCTTTGGTCCAATTAGACACACGTCGTAGGGCGCCAGCAGCGTGGGCCAGCGTAGCTGATGCTCTGTGGAGAGCACTTCCAGCGCTGCAGCTATGATGCGTGTTATGCCTATGCCATAGCAGCCCATGACTAGAGTTTCCGGCTTGCCTGAGGTGTTCAGATAGGTCGCACCCAAAGGCTTGGAGTACTTGTCGCCCAGCAGAAAAGTGTGTGCCACCTCAACTCCACGCACACGATTCAGCTGTGTGCTCTGACAGTTGGGGCATGTGCTAGTAGCATCTTCTCCAAAAACCTCAGCATTGCCCGCATAGCCACAGGAGCTGCAGTTGAGCAGAGTATCCTCGCCGACTGGGGAAATATAATGGTATTCGTGCGACAAGCTGCCGCCCATAATGCCCGTGGCCGCCTCAACTAAAAGAGAGAACTTTATGATGAAACGGTATTTGTATAGAGCTAACTACGCACCTTTAACAAAAGGCACCTCCAGCTGCCTGAAGAAGCGTTCGTAAGCTTCGCTAACAGTTGCATAAGTGATTTCCGCTTTCTCCTTCGATACATCGAATGTGTACATGTCCTTCATGAGGAATTCCTTGGCGCGCATCAAGCCAAATCGTGACTTCAGCTCATCACGAAACTTGGGACCAATTTGGTATAAAAGCAAGGGCAGCTGGCGATAGGAAATGGGCGCTGTGGTGGCCAACATAGCTGTGATCGCTTCCTCATGAGTCTGCAGAGCACATATGATAGTAATGATAATTTGAAGGCAAAGCTTACTCACCGGACTCATTAGGAACTCTTTGCCACTGCGATCGCGCACCATATAGAACTCGGATATATCTCCGTCCAGGCGGCCTGTCTTCTTCCACAGCTGCGTGGGCGTTAGGACGGGCAGGCTGATCTTTTGGCCGCCAGCCTCCTGCATGTTGCGCTGTACCAAATTAATGCATTTGTCCAAGGCGCGCTGAGCTATAGGCATAATTTGATAGGTGCCATTGCTGCCAGATTTGACGAGGCCGAGCTCAGTTAGCAGCTAGAAATAGGAAGATTGTAATCTAACAAGAGTTCACTTTTGCTTTCGTAACACGAGTTCACAATTACCTTCTGGCTGAGTGACAACTGTTCCGTTTGTTTGACAACTGCATTTTTTGGAATTATCAATGCGGGACAGAAAAGACGTGAAGCTTTATTCATTTCTGTTTTTCATTTAAAAGGCACTTAAGTAATAAATAATAAAAGCCGGCAAATGACAGAGCCAGTGCAGGTCAATCAGCTGTCTAAGCGATGTTTTTCGATATCGATATTTATTCAACCATCGACAGTGTGACCGTAAGTTTGTGAGAATGTCAAAATACAATTTGCAGCGCCGGTGTGTTTTGTTTGCGGTGTGAATTTCGTATTTTGAAAATGAGCAGTAATTACAAAGAACTGTACAAGAAGAGCGTCGATCTCGGCGAGCAGCAAAAGCTGCGCCAGCAACAGTTGCTCTATGAGCAAAAGAGGCGAAGACAACTGCAACAAGATGTCCACCGGCTCGTTAAAGATTCAGACGACGACGACGACGATGAACAAGAGCAGTCAACATCGAGCGGACAGAGCAAAGCGCAACAGAAAAAACGCAGACAGCGTAACAAAAATACTAAGAACAACAACAATGACAGCAAGAATCCGTATTTAAGGCTACAGCAATCCGAATGGCTGCGGCATCGTCCCGACAACTTGTCCGATTGGTTGCTACTGCCCTGTCCCGTGGGCAAGCGCTGCTTGGTTATGGCCAGTAATGGCCGTACGAAGGTCTACAATAAAGCAGGACGCATTGTCATGCAGCTGCGTTCGCTGTTGCCTGGCGATGGCTACGTGCAGAAGTTCAAGACTGTGCTGGATTGCGTGTACGTTCAGGAGATGGATACTTTCTTTGTGCTGGATGCGCTCTCATTTGGCCAGCAGCTGCTGCTCGATTGCGATGCAAATTTTCGTTTCTTTTGGCTGCGGTCGCGCTTCGATGAGCACGGCGAGCTGAGCGAGCGCAGTAACCGCAATGAAAAACCGTTAAAGCTGCTGGAGTACTATGATTTTGAGGACGCCAGCGCTGTGGAGCAGGCGCTGCAACGCTATCCCCAGTGGGAGGCGAATCAGCCGCAGCTGGACGGTCTGCTCTTCTATCACAAGGAGGCCAGCTACACCTGCGGCAGCACACCTTTAGTTTGTTGGCTATTTCCCTTTATGCTGCCTGATGTGCTGAACCTGCCCGTCCACAGCGGCTATGAGGCTCCAGATGATTATCTGCCCAGTGCCGCACTCGAATATATGGATGAGTTTGACAGGAAGCTGTTGGCGCAGCGACAGCAGCTGAAGAAATCCAGCAAAGCAATCGAGACCGTCAAGGAACCCGCTGCAGTTGCTGCTGATGTCAATGCCATGGATGAGGACGATGATCTAGAGGAATTCGCTGAGCTGCGCAGCCTGTTGGATCACCAGCGACGTCTGGAGCTGGGTGAACTGGACATGGACTGCAGCCCGGCAATGACAGCGCCAGAACCAGAGCCAGAGCCGGTTGTAAAGCCAGGGCCAGCGCCACAGCCAGTGGCAAAGCCGGAGCCAGCTGCCAGCAGCAGCAGCTGTTGAAAGTTATTGTTCTGTTACGATTTTATGGGTCGGCGGGGCATGAGCTCTACTGCTGGTGGTGGCACAATCGCGCATGCGCACTGCAGACCTTGGTCCCTGGCCAGCAGGCAGCCCAGATAAAAAGCAGCTCAGCAGTTCAAGTGCAGCTGAAACCAAATGAAAACTTTTTCACATTAGCGAAAATTATAAACAACAAATAGAAAACAAAAAGATGGTTATCCAGCGCAGTTGGAAGATTCTAAGCGATGCGGCAAGCACAGCGAATAACAACATCAACAACGATGCACAGCAACGTTCACCTGCAGGATTGCAGGGCAATTCCTCCTCGGATGACTCCGACTGCTCCAATCAGACAACACACTCCATGGACACGCGCGTCGCCAGTCCCACGAAACACATCGAAACGGAGCCAGCGACAACAGAGGCAACTTTACACAATGGAACGGATGCCACACTGGTGCGTAGCCGACCCTCAAGATACTCCTCAATTAATTTGTTTTGTAGATATATCTGGCTTTATTTGATACATAATTGACATTGTATTTGTGTTGAGCAAAATATACTCCATAGTTACTGGAACTTTAGTTTTTAAACTTTGTTTGTGTACCTATGTAAGGGCTCCACAGGTGAGCCCATTAGTTAGTTACTTGTGGTATAGAGAGGATAGAGCATTGATATAAAAAGTCCCGTGTTGCTAATCCAGTTGACTATATCCAGGCATGTTATCATATGACAGCTCTAAGGAGTATGTATAAAGAATTCCTGCGTTGGAAAATGAATAGCATAGAGCTGAAAACTATATAGTCTAAGAAGTCCTATATCCATACACGTGTGACTTTTATTATACAGAAACATCCTTGCCGAGTTGCTGAAATTCTGAATCCCCTGTACAGCTTCTAGCAATGCTTAATTAACTACCCTTATCCTTCGCCTCTCCACAGAAATATGTAACCACCCCTGATATGGCAGAGTCAATGCTGCAGCGCATCAGACAGCGTTACAATGGCGTCCACAACATGGAGAGCGGCGGCAGTGCGGAGTCGGCAATGCGAGCTCTGGAGTTGCTGCGCATCAGCGTGCAACAGGCTTTCGACACGGAAGTCAATGACATAATCAAGCGTTATATGAACGTAAGCAAGAGCGATATTTACCATATAAAAACATCATTCATTAATCTCAATCATTTCTCAATTTAGAACTACTTCAAGCCCGCCTTTGGTAACATCAAAGAGAATCTCGGGCAGCATGCGGTGAATGAGGAAACGCTGCAAAAGATGTCCTCGTGTGCTCTCCTGGAGAATGCCAAGGCGCAGTATACGAATTTTGTCCTACGCCAGCCACGTCCGATTGGCGCAGCAGCAACTGTTGCTGGTGAGCAGCAACGTTTGGCCCTTAAGCGACCTGCAAAGGCGCACGATTTGAGCAATAGCAAAATGTTTGCCAACAATTTGGGCTACGCCGTAGCTGCAGGCAAGCCAATGCCAGTGCCGGCTCAGCAGCAACAGCAACAGCAGCAGCAGCAACAACAACAACAATTGCAGCTTCAGCAGCAGCAGCAGCAACAACAGCAGCAACAGCAACAGTTACAACTGCAACTGCAACAGCAGCAACAACAACAGCAACAGTTGCAGCAGCAGCAACAGTCGCAGACACTGCAACTACAGCGAACGCCTCTCATTAGCGGACCTTTGCCCACACCTGTGCGTCGGCAAATCTTCTGGAACACCGCACAGATCAATACGACCACAAAATTTGTGCTGGACGTGCAAGCGAATCTCGCCTTTGGCTTCAGCATTGACGGCAAGGAGCTGGGCGGCGCCCGTTTGGCCAGCAAACATCCAGAGATCATACGCTATCTGCCCGACGCCGAGGATCGCGAATGGCTGGCGCAACGTGGCATCATAGCCGCCGAGAATCGCAGCTCACGCTTTCTGTTCCTCATTTACGACGAGGTCTGCCGGCTGCAGCAAACGCATGATCTCTATCGGCACAAGACCAACATCGATCTCAGCATGATGCTCACGTTCAATGTGACGGAGACAATGATACAGAAAATGAAATTGTTCTTTGTGGACTTGAATATCAAGAGTCGCGGCCTGATAACCAATTCATTCATAGTGGCCAGCAATCAGCAGCAGCAGCAGCAACAACAGCAACAGTTACAACAACAGCAACAGTTACAACAACAGCAACAGCAACAGCAGCAGCAGCAGCAGCAGCAGCAACAGTTGACTGGCAACAATAGCCACTTACGCAATGCGCTGCTGCAAGGCACACCCGTTCAGCCGCAGCTGCCAACGCCGACGGCCAGCGGGGAGGAGTCTAAGGAGCTAGGATCTACATCCGGTGCCACGCCCTGTTTGCAGGGCACCGTCGTGGGCAGCAGCACCACCAAAGGCAAACTGATAGCCTCCAGCTCAACTCTGAGCTCATCGCATGCTACGCTCACAGCGCTGCTCAATCAAAGTGGAGCCGGCAACAGTTCGGCGCCCAGCAGCAACAAATTCCGGAACTAATATGCTTCGATTTGCAACGATCGAAATGATCAATAGTTTTTAAGTTTTGTAGTTCTAGTTTTAGTTGTAGCTGCAGCTGTGCCAACTCCTACTATTTTCGTCACGCTATCATATCGCATTAATTGGTACCATCGACTAATCATTTGGGTGCGAATGCAAAAAGCAATTTCGAGCTATTCAAAAAGATTACTAAAATGTATCATAAATAAACTATAAAAGAACTTAAACTGGAAGAAAAATATATACATATATAAAATTGATAAGCCATAGATAATGTACTTGGAAGTGTTGCTCGAGTATCAAGTTGAGTTGACTAAGCTCAATCAGAAGCATGTGCTCATCAAGCATTGCACGAGGACCTCTCTATGCGATTTTCAAGAATTTGATGAAGGTTATATGTTATAGAGACTGAATATGTATGATGATGGGCCTAAATTCATGTCTAGTAAAAGCAGCTGAGCGCCCATTCTTGGGGGCTCTCTTTGCGCTTCTCATGTTAACGTTTAAGTCTATAATTGGGCTCTGTTTTACTATAGCATGTCAAATTGTCATTCGCCGAACCCTTTCTAACTGCCTCTCTTTGCGCTTCTCATGCATATATTTAACGCATACTCAATTGCAATTCATATGCATATGCAGCTGCATATAATTGTCTTGCTATTTGCCTTTTGGCTTAATGCCAAGTTAATCACTGAACCAATATGCCCTTTCGCTCTGAGTGTAGCGAACCATTCTCTATGCGTTGTCTAGCGCATGCTTCACTGGGGCATTTCTCCATATCTCAAGTGTTGCTGTTGATCTCGTTGTTGCTGTCATCGTGCAACTGTTGTCTATATATACACACACACATATATCTATCTATATATATATATAGTATATATATGTAACATATTGTTTATAGCTATATATATTTGGCAATGTGCTTGTGTGTGTGTGTGYCTGTGAGTATTTGTATGAAGAGCGCAACGCATCGCATTATAGCTGGCGATTCATGCAGCTTCCATAGGCATCTCCCTCTTTGCTTCTATCCATCTGCTGGTTTGCTGCTGTTTTTCCTGTCTGTGTGGAAAACCACTATACGGCTCACATTCTGACTGTCCGCCCGACTGCCTGCTTGGCTGGCTGGCTGGCTGGGTGGCTGACTGAGTTGCCTTGCTCGTCGTCTTTTAATTTTGTTTTTGATCGCGCTTTTACAGTTCTTTCTAAAAAACAATAAAATTCAGGCATCGGGCGTGGAAATGTGCTACATATACCGAAAATGTACGTCTCGTGTTCGTGCTTCGTTCGCCACGTATTTGCATATGTATTTGTGTATTTGTATGTGTATCTGTGGCAAGTTCAGCGACAGTCGATCTGAATATAATTTTCTGCGCTATATTTTGGAAAACGCAGCCGCATTGCTTTGTAGTAGGCACGAATACTCCGTGGTGTTCACTTCGAAGAAAATCTCTCAGATCGATCTATACTTTAACTGTAGAACAACAGCAGCAACATGAGCGCCGTGGTAAGTGGATAGTGGATAAATCGAATTGAAAGCAATTTAGTAACGTGATCCTGCCGTAGGATGAGGATCTGACACCCGAGCAAATTGCCGTGCTCCAGAAGGCATTCAACAGCTTCGATCATCAGAAAACTGGCAGCATACCCACCGAAATGGTTGCCGATATTCTGCGTCTGATGGGTAAGTGTGTGGAGAAAGAATATTTAAGCAGCCTGGACTTTTTATATTCATTGGTCTTACCTCTTTATAGGTCAGCCCTTCGACAAGAAGATTCTGGAGGAACTGATCGAAGAGGTCGATGAGGACAGTAAGTATTTTTTCTAGTTAATATAAGATCATATAATATGATTATCGGTTGTTGTTCAGCTACTCAATATAGTTGATCATAATTCAGTCACTTTTAATGCTATCGTAAATTCAAAACGCGTTGTTTAGAATGATAGGCGAATATATTTTGTTATTTTATTGTATGATTATATTGTTTATAGAGTGTGTGTTTTTTTTATTTTATTTTATTTTTTTTTTTTATGCAGTGCAATGCAAAAAGCGACAAACAAATGATTATAATTTTGTTAATTATAGAGTGTTCGCATAGAGTGTATATACTTAATAATTTCATTAATGACTATAATCATTTTATATATAAAAACTAAATTTACCGTTTTTATTATTTGTTTTCGCCTATAGAATCTGGTCGCTTGGAATTCGGTGAGTTCGTGCAGTTGGCTGCCAAATTCATTGTGGAGGAGGATGCTGAGGCCATGCAGAAGGAGCTGCGTGAGGCTTTCCGTTTGTATGATAAGCAGGGCAATGGTTTCATTCCCACCACCTGCCTGAAGGAGATCCTCAAGGAGCTCGACGATCAACTGACCGAACAGGAATTGGACATTATGATCGAGGAAATCGATAGCGATGGCTCCGGTACAGTTGATTTCGATGGTGAGTATGCTATAGATACATGGATACATATGTATGTATCTCATGGAATCATTTCTAATAGCTTGCGAAAAGCGCCCACGTAAACACCAGCATGCACACACACACAATACTCACACACTCACACATGCTCGCACACCCACAATTTTGTAGCGTTCATAAATTAATTGTAAACATCAGCTAGATGTTCTATATGACAACGCAGTTCGGATGATCTTGAGTTTTCGATTATGACAGCCTGATCGTTATTTTTTTTTTTTTTGGAGCACATCGATGCTATTTATAAGAACTGTGACAGATCTACATATATATATATATACGTATATAT